AGAGAGAGAGAGAGAGAGAGAGAGAGAGAGAGAGAGAGAGAGGTGTATGGTTCGTGGGCTCTGGTCAGCTTCACTTGGCAGACATGACTAGAGGATAACATGGCCTGAAAGCATGACTTTGCCTTCATCTTTGTGTTTATCGTCATAGGAGTGGATTCATACAATATTTGTCTTTTAACGATTGACTAACTTTACTTAGCATAATGGTTTCCTGATGGTTTCCTCACTGTTTTTTAGGAATGTGTAGTATCCCATTATTTATCTATACCAACACTTTTTAAATTTATTCTTCTACTGATTGGAATTTGGGCTGTTTCCACTTCTTGCGATTGTGAATTGTCCTGCAATGAACAAGGAGAACATACATCTGTTTGTTTTGTCTCTCATTTCTTTGGGGTACATGCCAAGCAACGGTATTGCTGGGTTGTACGGTATTTTCTATTGCCAGATGTTTTAGGAATTGCCAAACCCTTTCCCAAAGTGGTTGTGCATATTTACAAGCCCGCCATCAGTGTTTAACAGTTTCAATCTCTCCACACCCTGACCAGCATTAGTTATTCTCTGTTTGTATAAATTAGGCTATGGTTGGGGTGTAAGATGGTATGTCACGTTGTTTGATTTGCATTTGCCAGATGGATAGTGAGCAAGAGCATTTTCTCATGTACTAGTTATCTATTCAGATGTCGCATGTGTGACTACACAATTTAATGTCTAATACTAGACACTTTTGAGGGAAAGACACACTCATATTAATTAAACTGGAATAAATATGTGAACCAAGAATTTACAGAGAAAGCTAGGATATGACCCTACTGCACCCTTTCCTTCACTTTTCAGATCCTTGAAAAATAGATTTACTCAATTTTAAAGCATTATTCAATTCTTTCTTTAATGCCAATAATAATCTAAAGTTTTCATTGTTGCTGTTAGATGCCATCACGTTAGCTCCAACCGATAGTGACCCTATGCACAACAGAATGGAACACTGCACGGTCCTGTGCCATCCACACAATTGTTCCTATTGCCGAGCCTATTGATGCAGCCACTGTGTTAATTTCATCGAAGGCTTTCCTCTTCATCGTTGCTCCTCCCCTTTTCCAAGCATGATGTCCTTCTCCAGGGACTGGTCCCTCCTAACAACATGTCCAAAGTATGTAAGACAAAGACTTGCCCTCCTTGCCTCTAAGGAGCACTCTGGCCTTACTTGCTCCAATACAGATCAGTTTGTCACGAAAGATGTTGTCATTAAAGGGGTTAAATTGTGTTGCAAAATTATAATAAGGACAGGAACACATAAATATGCCTAAATGATTAATTTATTAACATTACTGGAGAGGAAATATAGTTTTAGAGACATAACAGTAAGTACAATTACAGAAAATATTTTATACATATTTTTTATTTTGTTTCTATTACTGTCAATTCAAAATTGAATTTCTAATAATAAATGATTTAAAAATAGAATATGAAAAGGAATGCATAACTAGAATTCAAATAAAGGTAAGTCCCTGATAGAACACAAAAGTAAATAATGAAAGTTTTGCTATTTTCACATAGATTCATTTTAAAATAATTCATTTTTGATAACATGATATAAAGCAAAGATGCCACATATCCAATTGCAGCCAATTCTGTAGAATAAAGAGAAAATTTAATATTAAAAATAAATAATAAAATTATTCTTTTTTATCTATGTGTAATTTTAGTATAAATAACTTATAAGATAAATTCCATTACAAAGAAGAAGTTCAATTGTAAATGTTCTCTGACATGTATTCCTTGGGTGCATATGAATTTTTCTAATCTATCATAAGCACAAAATAATTTCATATCTTAAGAATCCCAAAGCTCTGTTCTTTTTTTTCACCTCCATTCCTAGACTTAATCATTTTATTTTTGACTCATGGATCAAAAGCCCTCAAATCCATTTGCAGGTTTCCCACCTGGGTTAAGCCTCTGGTGAACCCCATGACCATTGTTAGGGATATGAGTCCCTGTTATCAGATAAAGTGCACTGAAAGTGGGCTAAGACAGAAGGAGTTAGGCAAAAATTTGACACCTTATCATTTGTTCTCTTTTAACCCATTCAATTTGTTCTAGTTTTTAATATTTTCTGCCTTCTTTTTGATTGAGGTTTTTCTCTATTTTGTGATTGTTTGGGGGTTATTTTTGTTTTTTTCTGTATGTTCTGTCTATGAAATGAATTCTGTAAGTCTATAGAGGCAGTAACTGAAGCAATAGTTTCTTAGGGTTCTTGAAAGGGAGTTTGGCGGGAATGAGGAGCTAATAATGAGTGTAAGAAAGAAAAACATGTTCTAAAATTGAGTGCGGTGATGTTTGCACAATTCTTCAATATAATTACACCATTGAATTGCAAGATATGTGAGTTATATGCTAATAAAACTGTTTAAAAGGCAATATAAAATTTTAAATGCAATAAAACAAAGTCTTATAACAAAGCTAAGTTCAAAATAAGGATTAAAGTTTACCTCTAAAAAGCAAAAAGTCTTAAATATATTTAATGAGAAATAGGAAAAAACTACATTTACTGTTCCTAAAAGTGATTTAAAAAAAAAAAACAGGTATAAAGCATCAGAAAGCAAACCAATAAAATCTTCTATGGTCATTCCATGAAAGAGAAGCTATTTGAAATATGGAGGGCATATAATCAGGTTAATAAATAATAGTTAGCCTTGTGAATAAATTGACCATTAATAAAAACATGGGTTAGTATATTGATGGAGTTTGCCACTATCTTGCCTTTACACAGAACAATGAGATAAAAAGTATTGACTATGGCAATGATCAACTTAAATTCCAATTCCTGAAACTTACCAGTATGTAGGAAGGGGCATTAACTTTGTAATCTTCTTAGACCTTAAAAATAAATCAATGATGCATATATAAATGTACAATTCACATCTTGACAAGAACACTTGTCTAAGTAATCAATTAAACATCACATGTCCATATATCAGGAGCAGGGTATTGTGAAGGAAGGCTAAGGCAAACAAGGAATAGATGTACACAAGAAAAACTTAAAACTACAGAAAATAATAAATTACCACTATTTCATGCCCAATCTTACTATCAAAATTAATTTTGGCTTCACAAAGCCTGTATCTTCTTTATCTTACACAGAAATTTTCCAAAAACCAATTTAATAAGAATCCTTCCAAGCTTTCTTCCCCAACACTCAGTTTCTTCTCAGAAAACCGGAACAATGAAATCAAAATCAGTGTGCTTTAGCTTAGGCGTGGGTGTTTGTTTTCGGGGGTGGAGGAAGTTCCTCAGGTGATTCTATTATATTAATTTCTGAGAATTACTGATTTAAGCAATGTTGTTGTTGATTAGCACACATTCCTTTTTTAACACTATAGAGGCGCTATTTATCACAACGTAATATATGCATCATGAATGAAACAGCAAAGTAAGTAAAGATGAACTTACAGCAATAGGGTGATAAAGTGGACCAAAGGTTTTTGTCCGTGGGTTGAACTCACGGGCCGAGCCAAGAGCAGGATTTGGGTACAGCATAAAGGATTGGAAAGGTCTCTGGGGTTGGGTCAGTACTTGCTGGGGGACAGGCAGAACTTGAGGTTGATACAGAGGCACCGCGGGGAGAGGAGGAAGCACTGGCGGCGGAAGCAGAGGCTGGGGCAGCTGTGGCACCGAGAGCTGGAGCACGGAGAGGGGGAGGGGCAGATTGTCCAGATCACTGAGACGCAGGGTCTGGAGGTCTAAAGCAGGCGTTTCCAGAGATTTAAAGAAGGGGATCCCTTCGTGCCTAGGAAGGAAAGGCAGATTCATAGCAAGCTGAGCAGGAGACAGGATGTTTTGGGGAAGGTAAGGGTCATTATAAGGATAGACGAAAGGCTGAGGCTGGGAAAAGGGGTAGATTTTGTCCTGGAATTCATCCTGGAAAGAAGGAAAAGGAATAGTTGAATCTACAATTCAGAGGCAACTGTCATTCATCATGAATCAATCTCTTCTCTCTTACTCCAAAAACCCCAACTGATTGCCATTAAATCTATTCCAACTCAGTGGCCCTGGGCCCATTCTTTCTCTTGGGGAATTATATTGGTCAAAACACCTTCAGTAAATGAAAATAAAGAAAGAATATTCTGCACTTATCTTAGTTAAGATCATTTTGGGGCATGTGAAGAATATTGAGTAAAAAACACTCTTTGAGTGATTCCTCATTATTCTACCACTTCATAAGCGAACTCAGAGTTCAAAGTGAGCCCACGGTTCAAGCTGAAAACAATGTTTGGGGATTTCAAGGCATTTTTCACCTTTTGTGGGGATGCCTGGGTAATTTTAACTGTTCACTTTAGACCTTGGAAGACAGCTTTTCAACATATGTTTATAATAGACCAAATTTCTTTTCACATAAGAAAAAAACCAAATTTCTTTCACATATTTAAAAAGACTTAAAAGTATAGTCCTTTCTATGGAGCTTTTAAAAATTTCATTTTAATGAAATTTAGTAGTAATATGTGACTACGTTCAGGAAGTTATTTAACACCAGCTAACTCTTGTCATTTGGTAGAAGTAGTTATCTGGAGTCTTTTAAGAAATATAAATGGTAGATTCAATTAACTAAAATGTATTTAGTATAACCACCAAGTAATCCGCCTTCATAGATAAAACTGAGAACTTGAAATATTGCAATGACATAAATATGTTATGATAAAATTTAATTAAATATAAAATTGTATGCTAGCTAGAAAAATCCTGGGCTATTAAATAAACTCTGCTATTCAGAAACTGTCTTGTATTACTACACAATTGTTTGCTCAATTACTCTGTGTCTCTGTTTTCTCATCTCTGTAATGGAAACACTTTTAAAGCATCATGCGGTCATATAAAATTTACAAAATGTTCATGCAAAACCATTTGAGCATACATTATGTGCTAGATCATCAACCATATGGGACAGATACACTCATTAATGTTCTTTATACATAAAGAAGAAAAAGAAAAAAACTGGAGGCCAATGTTACAAAATTGATAAGTTAACAAGTTGTGATTCTATGTCATATTGCCTTCCTATTCCTTTGCATTACCAGAGCTACCTTGAGTATAAGACACATATAGTTTTAAACATGGAAAAACTCCTGCTAATGTATAGTTACTTAGGCATTTAACTTATATGCTAGAATTTATGAGTTTAAAAACTGCATTTATGTTAGAAAAAATGTACTGACCTTGTCAATGTCCCATTTCTTATACCAGTTGAGGAAACATGGCATATAACTTATTACCATTCCTTAGACTGAGCATATACACGTATATAATGTATACTTTCTGTATGTATTACAGTTCCTAAAAAACTTTAGAAATAGACTTATTAGGTAAATTACCTCTCTTTGTTGCTCCTCACGTTCAATATTCTCAAGGTTTGGCTAAAATAAATCATAAACAGACTGAAATAATCTGTGAAAATCACACGAAATTTTTAAAAGTATATTTAAATGTGAAGGTTTTAGGGCATTTTGTTGATTTGTTTAGTAGAATCCTTCAAAAGGTAAAAATAAGATTTACTTTAAATAATTTCTAATAAAGTAAGCTATTCCCATTCATCAATATAAATCAGAAAATGAAGACGAGGACATAATGTGGACATGATTTGGTCGTATCATTCACGGCTTAAGATATTTGCTGAGACTAGAATGCTTTGCTGTTCTGTGTAAATTCTGTGTATATATAGCAGGTTATGCACATAGTATCGATACTGTAAGTCCCTAAGTACTGCTACTAGGGTTTCAGTTCATACATGACAAATGTCACGGCAATAAGTGGACGGTTGCAGGCAAGTTTTCTAAGTAATCCTCTTGTCTTGGTCTTATTAGAAGGTCTTCAACAAGTATTGAATAAATACAGTGGCTTTCAAGGTCATCTGTGTAGGCAGTTACAGTCAAGGCAGTGAGGTGATGTTACATTCCAAGTTTAAAGGCTGTGCTTACTGTTGGGGGTACTGTTTGGGGGGCTCCAAAAGGTGAATTCTGATAGATTTTTTTCTCAAAGGACTCAAGGCTATCACAATGGTTTATTAGGGAGAAATTTCAAGAAAATTGAAAACTATGCTATTGAGGAAAAGGCTAGGCAACTTATAGCAAGGAATTGTTTTTCCATCACAACAATGCACCTGCTCATTCTGTCCAGAACAGCAAGGGGGCCTTAGGACAATTTCACTGGGAAACTTGACCCCGTCCAACCTACAGTCCTGATCATGCCCTTTCAGACTTCGTTTTTGTTCCCCAAACTTAAATAACATTTAGGAAAATCACAATTTGAGTCCCTCAAGAATGTTCAAGGTGCTGTTTTGTCATAGTGCAAATGTAAGAGTGTAGACTCATTTGGGGAAGGTAAGAGAGGAAAAGCAGTTTTAGAAGTGTGTAGACTTAGATGGAGGGTACACCATGAAACAATTGCTTCATATTTTGATATTTTTGTCTAATAAAGATTTATGGTTTTATAGCAACACTTTTTGATTTGCATTTGTGTGGGTGTTTGTGTGTGAGAGATAGAGATAGAGAGAGATTACATATACACATGCACATAGATCCACACCAAAACCATCTGCTGTAGAATTCACTCCATATCATAATGCCCTTATAGGGCTTCTGAGACTGGAAATCTTATGGGAGCGGCTGGGGTTTGTCCTTATGATTAGCATTCTAATGCTTACTTCACTCCAAACCAAACCAAACCAAGCCAACTCACTGCCATCGGGTCCATTTCAACCCCCAGTGATTGTACAGGGCAAGGCAGAAATGCCCCTGTGGGTGTCCAAGATTGTAACTCTTTATGGGAATACAAAGCTTCACCTTTCTCCCTCAGGGTGCCTGGTGGTTTTGAACTGCTAGCCTCAGTTCAATGTATCACCTCTATGCCACCGGCACTCAGGCATGCACATTTCACCAAGGCTACTTTATGCATACAGATAGATTAATAAAATTAAGTTAGTAAAGGAAGTTAGTGAATGTAAAGTAGGTGTGAATGACTCTCTACCCTCATTCTTTCCATGACCAGTGATCTTTAACACCCCATTTGATTCTAAAGAGCATGCTGTTCATTGAAAGTACATTTGAATGATGATCGATTCCATCTACTTATTCTAAATTCAGTAGTTATGTGCTCTCCCAAGACCTTACTGCCAAAGACGCTATGCCAACTCAGAGCAAGCCTTTAGGACAGGGCCGAGCTGGCCGCAAGTTCTCACTGGAATAGAAAGTTTGCCGAAGTTACTGCTGGTGATTTCCCACCGTGAACCTTGCAGATCGCCACCGGACGCGTCGCCACTCCGCCACCGGGGCGCCCCGCCTCTACAATGAAGCCAATGACCTGCACGGATTAAACATCTTCCCTAAAGATTTTACAAGCTTTTTCGAAGAGACAAAATACAGAGATGTATTTTTCAATTAACAAATGAAGACTGACCCAACATTGGGTAAATAGCTACCTCTTTCAGCCAAGTATTTTTATGTTATTTATGATGACCCTGTATCTCCTGGCTTCTTATTGTTTAAGGCGACGATTACAAGTACACAACCTATCGATTTGAATATCTGCCCACCTCCCTTACCGTCTCTTTGCTATGAGAATTGACCTCCTGGTCTTTTCAGTGCACACGAAAAGTAGGCAATGTCTGACCCACCAACCCAGCAGCCCGCTGCCGTGGGGTTGATGCTGACGCAGACAGGCCCTCCCGGTAAGTGTGTCCACATCCACAATAGATTGCACAGGTTAAAAAGACAGGCCAAGTTACCGTAATGAAATGAATGTCACACAATGAAATGGAAAGCGCAGCATTTTACTGGTCTACATTTGAGAAATTGCCTCTGAATAAAATTGTCTTACCTCATTGTTTGAACGAAGTTCTAACGACTGTGAAGAGAAAGAGGCAGGATTAAACAATTGCCAGAGATGACCTCAGAGCATTATTGCTTCATTCTTGGGAAACTATCTCTGAATATAAATATCTTACCTCGGTAGATACAGTAAACTGCTCTGTCTGTAAAAGACATGGGAGACACCATTTTAGTTTTCTATGGTTAACTCATATTAATCATGACTCTTACTTATTTGTACCTCATTTATGAATAGGGATCTCTTTCATAAAGTTATTTGAGAAATTAAAGTGACTGTTATGTGTCTTCTGAAAACTTTGGAAGACAATTATAATACATTTTAAATTCCGTGACTTTTATATTGGTGTATTTCTATACAACCTGTGTACAGCACCAGGATTCCTGGTGGCACTGTGAGTTAAACATTGGGCCAATAGAATTAAGGTTGATTGTTACTTCAAAGCCAACAGTTGCTTGTTAGAGAAAGAGGAGACTATAGAGATTTATAGTCTCAGCAACCCGATCTGAGTCAGAATCAAGTTAATGGAAGTGGGTTTGGTAGACAGCACAAAACTCGGATGATTAATAGAAAATGAATCTGTAATAAAACCATTTATTATAATTATTATTTTGGTACGGCCTGATACTCCATTATCTTTGACTTTAGATAGGATTTGACCTAGGCTTATAATTATCTACACAGATAGATATTCACCGGAAAATATTCTTTC